ATTGATATACACCGAAGAAAATAAACTTACAAGAGAAAAAAACCTCATTTCTCTTCTGCCCAAGTCACCAAGAAGAAGCCAAGGGAGAACAATATTTTTCTTCTTCTTTCTTCTTTCTTCACTGCAATGAACTACACCTTGCACTTCTCTTTCTCTACCCTATGAAACCTTCCTCTATCCCGAGGAAACCGAAGAAGAACACAAAAGGCTGTGTCGTAAACTGAAGGAGAGCCGATGCGATGTCTTTTATCGTGAATAGAAAGAGAGATGTCGTGACTATTCACGGCAGAGGAGCAGTTCGCGAACAGCAAGGTCGGGTCCTGCGATGCCTTTTTCTTCAAACATGAATCCTTCACCTCTGCAACTCCGTTGACGTAGGCAATTTGCTGCACTACGTAAATCTGCGTGTTCCGTTGTGTTACTGTTTTCTGGTGTGAATTTTCTCGTTCTATTTTTTGTTTCGTCAAAGATTGTTCTCCTATTTAATTTCTATATATATACCACAACAACTGATATATCTTATCCCAACAACTGGTATCAGAGCCAATGTTTGCAGATGAATTGAAAGTTTCAGGGATCGAGAAATTTGATGGCACAGATTTTGGTTGTTGGAGGATGCAGATAGATGACTACCTCTATGAGAATAAACTTTATCTTCCATTATTAGGGAAAAGACCTAAAATGATGGATGAGGTTGAATGAAATCTGTTGGATAGACAGGTTATGGGGGTTATTCGATTGACCCCATCGAGGTCCATTGCACACAACAAATACAACAATAGCAACAAGCATTTATCCCACAAAGTGGGGCGGCTACGTGAATCTTTTTTTTCTCCATTTCGTCCTATTGAGCATAGGTATGTTGTTTGTAAGTATATATATATATAAAAGTTCACTATGGTATAAGTTTGAGTCGGATTTTTGTCCGTTTAGCGTCGAATAATTTGATGTTGAATTGACAATCATATTCCCTCATTAAACTTCTCGAGTCATTCAACGTAATAGCTTGCTACAATCAATCAGAACCAAAGTATCCACCAAAAAAGCATCATGCTAAGATAACAATGCATATGACAACATAAAACACGACTCATCTTGCATGACAAAAAATTTGATGCATTTTAATGCAAGGTATCTTTTTTCCTAAAACAAGAAAAGGCCAAAAGGAAGATTGCCTAAAACTCCCAAGTACTTCCATATAGCACCTTGTCACTCCTTATTTCTAAACTATAAACATGTTGTCATTCATATGCCCTCACTCAAATATTCAAATTCCTACTAATAATGTTTGTCATAAATCTATGATATAAAAGAAAAGTAGTGATACGATAATACTTTCTAGTAGCAAAGCCATGGCTTCACAATTATATATATATAATATATATATATATATATATGTCACACGCACACACGCACACAGAGATAAAGGAATGACTAGAGGCTATTATACGAGCCTCCAGCCATCCCTAATGTGTCTAACAATTCTAGTAGCACCTTTTTAAGTCCAATTGTGTCAGAGGGGATTCGAACCCTTACCATGGATGTATGTATGTATGTATACATGTATATAGAACAAAAATATACCGCCCTAATTTAATTTTGGCTATAAATCGTCTTGCTTTCAGCTAAATTGTCCATATTTGTCCATGAGACAAAGGATAGTGGAGGGAATAAAGCTCATAATCTCAACAACAAAAGCATAATTTACATATGATTCTCAAAATACCCCCTGCTTGGTACCCGGCCATGTGCATCCACTAATTTTCAATCATTTTGGCATAAATGTAAAACTGTTACCGCTGCTTTTTTTATTGCAAAAAAAAAAAGAAGTTTGCCATCCGTTGGCGTATTATGAATATGTTTCTGCCACCGCATCATGACTTCAGCTATTACACCTTTCAACGCCTATTTTAAATCTATTTCTCCTCTCCTTATTATTAACTTTTTTTATTTTCTGTGCAATAAAAGATTTTGGAAGATTTACATTCATACCACTTATATTTATGCTTTTACACATCCGACTCCTAAAGTTTTTGCAGAAATGTCACTTTGCCTAAGCATAAAAAAAGTTTCATAATCTTTTCTTTTAATAAAGATAATGATATATTATTGCAACTTTTAGTTTGATTCATGTTATTGTCAATAATGGTAAAAGAGACCTCGCTTTTAAATGTTTTTGACACTACGAAGCATTTTAGTGGGGAGCTTAAAAAAATGTGAAATTTACATACATACTTGCATATCTACCACTTTTAAATTGATATTTACATTTGAAGCACTTTGTTGTCGTGAGCATGTACTTGAAAAGGTGAGCTTCATTTTTAAAAAAAGTTAGTAGTAGTGATATTTCTGATGTGATGTCAAAGATTAGAGTGTTTGTATGTTAATATTAGGTGTTAGATATGTAAATAAATAGGAATTGTGTGGCATGTATGTAAGTGCCCCTAACAAAAGTGTGGTTTTGATGGCTTAACATGTATTATTACATGTAATTTGGACATACCAAAAAATACACATATAAAATAATAATTTTTCAAAACATGCTTTCTAATTACAAGAATATTTTCTCTAAACAGATATTAAAGTTATAAAAATGTTGTCCTAAGTCACACAAGGTCAATGACTTGGATGCATCAACCATTCTTTGTAATAATTTAGGAATCATAATTTTAAATTATAAAATTACCCTTTTAACTATTGAATTTCTTCATCTATGTGCTCTGCCAAACCAGGGGAAGGCTAATTTTTCTGAATGCTAGAAAAGGGATGAAGATAGTATAAATAGATTAAAAAAAGTGGAGTATATTGCATATTCAAAGTATGGATTCATAGTGCAAATCCAAGTTGTCGCAATTTTAGACTTATGAAAAGGTAAAAGCACATAGCCTAATTATGAGAACATCAAATCTTTTTATTACAGTTTAAATTTTATTTTGCAGTAAATTCAGTAAAGTATATTCCACTGATTTAATCATATAATTCTTTCATAGAATTGAATGGTGGATCTCATGATGAATTCATGAAGGTGCATGCAACATTCCACTCAATTTTTGCATGCTGAGAAATTTCTTATTGTTGGAGAGATTTTTTGGTCATAAAAGAGAAAATAATGGGATTGTTTGTTGGGAATTGCATAAGTGGACTCAATAAGTTCAGTCTATCTGTTTCACTTTATATATATATGAAGTGATGTTTTCATTATATTGTCCTTTCTTGTTACTTTGATTCGGCCATAAATAGGTGTTATTATATGGAGCCTGATTATATTGATCAATTGTTACTCAGAGCCCTGAATTTTGTGAGTCATGTTTGATGTTGAGTTTTTCATGGGAGTACGAGGGTGCTCCCCCTTAATTTGTGTTCAGGGGCATTGTCCTCAGAAATTTTTTTCTATACGTAGCGCCCAACCGTTAGAAGTGGGCGCCATAACACCCAAACCGAGGTTAAAAACACAAGTGTGTTACATTGTGACGCCTCAACACCCATTTGAGCATAGCAACGCTATATCGCTGCTCCCCAATGCTAATATCCGAATGGAACTAGATTTCACTTTTTGGTTTCTTTGTTAGAATGTGTGCCCATTTTGATTTGTTGCATGTGATTTCAAAGTTCTTCTATGTGAGGAAAAGAGGAGTGTTTTCAAGTTCCAAAGTTCGGAGAGGCTTGCTTGTAGTGTAATTTATACAATTATTCTCATTTTTTTATAGTGAATTTTTTGGTGTGGTGTAACTTCGCCTCTTCTAGGATTTTTCCACTCTTAATCTTGATGCTGTGTTTTTTGTTTCTTGTGCTTCTATTCTAAGCTTTATTTCGGAACTCTCGAATCTGTCTCTCCCATAACAATTAGCTTTTATGTGCAGTACAGATAAGAAGAAAAATAGGCATCAATTTCCCCCCCTCTCTCTCTCTCTCTCTTATTATCATGTTATTACATATCTCTTATCCCAAATTCATTACCAATTTGGAAAAAATAAAATAAAAAAAACTAAAAACAGTTTTATTGCCTTCACGGTGGGGAACTACCTTGGGTTTGAAGCCAACTCACAATTATGGGCACTATTCATGATGATCCATCTATTACTTATTATGAATATCAAATTGTGATTCTTATTACAAGTTTCTGTTATACATTTATAAACTTAACCTTTTATTTTCATAAATAACCTTCACGAATTTTAATCCCTTGCCTGCATCCCCCTAAAACACCTTTTTTTAAGCACATGAAATAGAGGGGCCACCCACTTTCATACTATTATTCTCTTCAATAATCTGAATAAAGCCCAAAAAATTTTAAAAAAAGGCATTGCACAAAAGTGATGTTGTAGCTGATATCTCTCCCCATCAACTCATATCACAAATCTTAAAGAAGCAGAACACAAGATCTAGCCCATTACTGAAATTACAATCAAATTTGTTTACCTTCCTTACTTGATAAAGCAATGTGGGGCTTAAGATGGCACCTAGAGAAAAATTTGGTTGGATTTCATATCTTTTGCACAATAAGAGAGTAAGTGTCACTTTCTTATTACTAATATATCCCTGTTTAATTTATAAGTGCCACTCTTTTCTAATAACCAGGGGCAGAGCCTTGCTTAAACTACATTATATATATATAATATATATATATATAATTTTACTATTTATATAAAAAAATTATAGATTTCAGTGAGGGAAATTACCCCACTGAATGTGACATGATTCTGCACTGATAGTACAGAGTAAAAATGGATTCAAGTAGCTTTCAGAGTAGTAACTTTGTACTGAAAAGTACTTTGTATGGAGCAGGCTTCAGAGGAACAGAATCTTAACTGCTTCCAAAATCCCGGAGTAGCTCTATTCTATCAACAAAGAGATATGTGGCCTCAAGCTTCTAACTTTTATCAGAAAAGATAAGAAAATAGACTCAAAGCAGAGATTTTGATCATTTACAACTTTACAGAATCACAAATATGTTTGCAGCCAAGAAATTATATAAACAATAATGAAAAAGAAAAGGGGGGAATTTGAAGAAATTTTATTCTGCAATGTTTCACACTATTACTGCGGAAATCATAGAAATCAAACAATAGATAAAGAGTTGTTTTCAGTATCATAAGGACTATATACATGAGAAAAATCATTATGACACACACGCATTCAAGAATCATAACAACAACAAGCCTTCTTATTATCTTATACTCATGAACTCGTGCATTGACCGAATTGAAAACTCTGTTTAAAAAGGTTTTTGATTTTCTATATATAATCTATATCTGACCAAACAATGTAGAAAACCTCTGAAATTCCTTACCATACAAGTCTGCAGTCTGCGGCGGCGGCTGCTGCGGCTGGTTCTGGTGATGCTGTGGCTGCTGATTTTGATGCCAAAGATTTGAATTTTCGATCTCGAAATGGCTTTGGGAGATTGCATCGCTGCTGCCGTATAATGGCTGGTTTTGGGTCTGGAGAATTGAAGAAACAGGGAAATTTCCCTGGAGGTACTCGGACCATTTGAGGTCTTCCGGGTCGCCTTGCAGATGAAAATGAGTTTCTTTCTCTGTCGATAAATCTGGCCATGACAGTAAGCCACTGTCGAAGATGGAGCTACTGCTGCTGCTCCCACTGCTGCATCTGCTTGGATTACCAGCTTCAAGATAAGGGAAAATTGGAGCTCCAGTACAAGGTGGAGGAAAGCAGGGTGAAGAAAGATCAACAGGAGACTTCAGGTCCATTGAATTCGACATAATTGAGTTCGAGATTACTGTGGATATGGAAGAGCAGCTCAATTCTGGATTCATATCAAACACCCTGCAGTTCTGGTTGAACCAGAGGAAAGGATTTTGATTAAATGGCAGGCTAGCTGAGGCACTGGTACTATAGTTAAGTTGAGGGAGAGGGAAGCAAGATATGGAGTTTGAAGATGAGCGGAGGCAGGCGGTGGGATTATCGATGATGAATTCCTTAGCTGAAATGGAATTTTGTTCGGCTGATTGCATCAGCGATGAAGCAGGTTGTAGCACTGTCTGCTGAAGGCTTTCGCCAGTATAAAGTATGGAATTTCTTTCGCTGCTGGTAGAAACCTTATTCTCTTCAGGATTTTCGGCCTCTGAGAGAGATTTGTGGGTGTTGGGATCAATGCCTCTCTGCCTCAGCTTCTTCTTGATGCAGGAGTTCCATAAGTTTTTTATCTCATTGTCTGTTCTGCCAGGCAACTGTGCTGCAATCTGAGACCATCTGACAAAAAGATAAAATTTTTCAGACATGTCTGAACTAAAAGCGAAATAGAAAGATTAAAAGGTAGAAAATTGAAGGGACCTGTTTCCAAGAACCGCATGGAGCTCAATGATGAGGTTCTCCTCTTGCTGCGAAAATGTGCCTCTTTTAAGATCAGGCCTCAGGTAATTTATCCACCTCAACCTACAGCTCTTTCCACATCTCTGCAGACCTGAATTGTGTTCCACTTTCATTTAGAACGTAGATAGGAAATAAAAAACAGAGCTTTTAACAATCATTCGATGTTTAGGGTTAAAATTCACCTGCCAGCTTGGGGACGGAGCTCCAGCAGCCATGGCCATACTTAGTGATGTGCTTCAGAAGCTTCTCATCCTCTTCCGGAGACCACAAGCCTTTCCTTAGCTTCTGCTTATGGCAGCAGGAGTGTCTTCCCATGCCTCGCAATGCCAGCCGCCGCCCAATTGGGTGAAAAAAATGGAGGAGAAGGAGAAGAAGAGTGGAGAAGAAGAGGAGGAATGAGCTTAAAAGGGTGATGGAAGGGGTCACAATCAAGTGGGTGTGATTTGAGCTGAGGTTTTTCTTTCCCTCTTATTCCTTTCAATCTCTCTCTCTCTCTCTATTTTCTACTCATTTTAAAGGTTGAGAGCGAGAGATTTATCTTTTGAGCTGCAAATGTCTAATCTCCCTCTCATGATTTAATGCAAAGTTACAGAAATGGTGGGGACAATTAGCCTCTGATATTTTTTTTTTATTTTTTTTTATTATTAAGGATAGAAATATAGAATGATCCTTCCTTGAAAATAAGAAATTTTCATATTTGTTGATGTATATGTTGTCTTATAACTATAATATTCAAAAAATTGAATTTTAGCTTCTAAATTATGATCCTAAGTATATTCATTCTAATCATTATTAAATGGCCTTCCAAGGCCCAATTTTTCAAAAAATTATCATATTGAGGACGTCCGGATGTATGGATAGTAGTGAATGCAGATGTCATGTCATCACCAATTCAAGTATCTCATATGTGTGATCTCCCCATCCGAATTTATTAATAAATATTTCTCTTTTTTTTGTCTCAAAATATTATTAATTGCCATAATATATTAAAATGGGACCATCAAAAAAGTAGAACTAAACTATGAGTGGCTCTAAAACTTGAAAAATACTCCTAAGAGCAAAAGAAAACAGTGTTATATTGCAAGAATAGAAAGTAGTTAAATTAACATGGAAATTTGCATTCATACCCCATGATTATTATGTTTTACATCTCTATCACCTAAATTTTGACATTAACATTTATACCCCTTCAATTCCACAAACCTATGCATTAAAAAAAAAGAAAAGCATTTCCTTCAATGTGATTCAAGCATAAATATAAATATTATGTATGCACCCATGATTGGCTAGAAATGTAACAAGTCTTTTAACTTTTTTACCCAATCCAAAAAAAAAGACCATGTCAATGCAAAAAGATATTAAATAGATTCCCACCCCTATTTTAATTCCAACAAAATCGGGTTGTCAGAGCGCCGAATGAGCGGTGTTCTGTTTTTGGATAAATCGGCCCTGCCATTATAACTTTAGAAAGTTCCAATAATATTCCGGAAATTAAAGAAGAAAATTTTACTTCTTTCATGATAAATTAATTTTCATATGCGTCCACCGTGCATCTTTCTTTATTATGAGAAACCCCCGTTCCTGTGCAGAAAAATCTCTTTGGAGTCTTCCAGCCTCCCTCCACTTTCTGACAATTAATTCAGTCTTATGTTTTGCACCCTTGACAGCCAAGGACAGCACTCCACAATTTCATAACTGAATTTCAAGCCAATTATCCACAAAATTTAGCTGCAAAAAAGCGATAATGAAGATTTACATACTCACCTTTCAATTCCTCTTTATTTACATGTCTAAATTTAGACAAACCGTCTTACTTGTGCATAAAAAACATATATTTTTAAAAAATTATGATGTATTTGATGTGATGTGAAAGATTTGAGCGGTATATTTGTAAAAAGTAATGTTTAGGTGCTCGATATGTAAATACGAAAAAAAAAAGGTGCAACTCAAGTGAGGCTAAGCAAAGTAGTGAAGCGGAGAAGGAAGGTTAGTGAAATTGCTTATCCTAAAAAATAATGTTGGTTTCGCCCCTAAGAAAAAAATATTACATTAGGAGCCTTGATGCAATACTGCATCAGGACTCCAATCACAATACGACATATGTACGGTTCATCCCCTATTAATAATAAAAACTAAATAGTTTAATGTATCACGTTGTCGGACCGTACACGTGACACATTGTAATTGGAGTCCTGCTGCATGTAATATATTCTCGCCCCTAAGAGCATATGGGTGATAACTTGAGGGTGAGTATAGGCGACATATGAAAGAAAAAGGTAATGAAACGTGAGCAAATTGTAAGACACTGAATTATAATTTATGTTTATAGCTTTTGGGTTAAATCATATAAAAAGGAATTAAAAAAAAAAAACAAAGACATCAAACTAAATAATCCCTTATTACATATTTAGTTCAAATATTTACTTATTAAGGTATGCATTCATGTGCCAAAATAGACATATATTTCCACCAAGCTATTATATTTAGATAATGAAAGCAATCATAATTGGAATATCATAGTACTATAAAACATCGGTTGTAGTTGATGATTTGTATAAAATTTATTACAAACAACAATTCTAAGAAAAATTAAAAGGCATAATTACTTCTCTAACCTTCCATGTTTCATTCTCTATTTTGTACCTTCAATAGGCCAAACAATGTAATTTCGGTGGTTTTGTTGCCTTATGTTTGCAATTATATAATCATCTACATATATATATATATATCTAACTCAAAAGTGGAA